AATGTAAAGCAGTGATTTTTCAATTGAGAAAGGCTTAAATAGCGAATATTTTTCCTACTGCAAATCTAAGAGAATCCCAAAATCCTGAAACCTGCCCTTGTAAGTCGTAGAAAATATACAAATGGAAAGTTTGTTTCCCTGATGAATAAATAAATCCTGACTGTCTTCTTGAACTCCCAGCTCTGCACTTGCTGCCTTGTATCTGCTTCAAAAAGAGTAGAAAACCTCAGAAGCTCCCAGTATTCTTCAGAAAAGGCACACAATTATAAGTTCAGGCTGGCAGGAAGAGGAAGAGGACAGGACAAATCCCCTACCTGGAATCCAGCGTATCACAGATCGGAAAACCACTGCAACAGCAGAAAGACTGTGGACAAAATGGAGGAAGTGTTGAAAAACCATTTTTGTGTTAAGTAGCAGCAGATTCTATGATTTCCAAATCCGCACATTCATTGGCAGTGAGGCTAAATAAACTTCCTGGAATGTCCTTGGCTCACAAACAAAAACCGGAGAGAAGAGATGGGGGATGGGATGGAGGAGAGGCTTCAAAATGAGAGAAATCTCTCTCACTCTGATTTCCATGACAAGTACCCCAACAACCTATCCATAGTCACTAGTGTTTGAAATATGAAATTAAACTACCAACAGTGGTCTCCCTCCCTAAACTCTCATTCAAATCTGTCCTCACACTTCAGTTAAGTCAGTTGATTCGTAGGTGAATTTCCTCATGTTACTCCTCTCCCCTGAAAGATCCATATCTCCTTTCTGTGCAGAATAAAGTCCAAATGTAAACTGTCAACAAAGGACTGTACAATCTGACCAAAACCTACCTTTGATCCTTTGTCTCTCTGCCTTTCCAGCAGTTCATTCTTCCTTTTCTTTTCTATTCATTTAATTTATAAAACATTTTCTCACAATCTAGAATGAATAAGGAAGGTCCTGTGAAGGTATGATCTTAAAAACTTTAACCATTATATTTTATTAATTTAACAAACATTTTTGAGCACCACAGTATCAAATACTGCACTACAAATTGAGAAACCCAAGAAACAAAATTCAGTTCTGATTCTCTAGCAGTTTAGATGATACATTATTCTGCTTTGTGAATTCTCAGTCCAGTGAAATGACTATACACTTACCACATGTTTTTGTTCTTGTAGCCCTTTGAACAAATTTTTCCCTGCCTGAAATGTTCTCCCTCTTCCCTTTTCAGACAAGATCAGGCACATTCAGGGTGGTATAGCCATAGACCTCCCTCTTCCCTTTCAAAAACCCATTTGAAAATCTACCTCTTTGACCCCTTGCTAAAAAGCCCTACTCCCAATAGGAGTTATCAGCATTCCCACAGAGATTGTTTTAACATGTACATATCATGTTTTCCTAGCAAAGGCACCTAAGTGCAATTTCAATAAAGGAGTGGTTAAAATTTTCAGAACAGAGAACAAGGAATATATTAAACTATTCTGTATTCCCCACAGAACCTAGCATAATATGATGTACAAAGATAGTCAATATATATTTTCATCTGTGATCAGTGAAAAATACAAACTTGTGAAATTTTATTGAAATGAAAGAGTGATACTAGAAGTGTAAATTAAAGGGCAATGTGATATTAGAAGTGTATATTAAAGGGCAAATAAGCTTTAATTAGGCATTCAAGAACTTCTCCTCTAAGAGGTAGCTATTCTGACCAGTACATGGTTTCTGACAGTAAATACATTGTTTCACTAAAAATCAGTTCGTTTTAATCAAACCAAATGAAGAGATCGAATTGATTCTCTGAACCTGCACAGGAAGAATCACATGCTTAGCAATGGAGATACCATCAAGATATATGAAGTATATTATAAAATCCATTCTGAAACAACCTGTTAGATTTAGCTTTCATATTAATAATAAATGCTTAGGAAAAAAATAACTCACGAACATTTTAATAGTGATGGGTCAATAGTGTCATCTTTGGATTTAGAACATTCGAGAACTCTGTAAGGTAAAAGAATAATTCAAAACCAAGGTGATATGGTATATCACATCAAATATAGTTTTCTGGTTGCATTTAATATTTAAAATCCCACTTGTAATAGTTACTTGATTGGCCTCTATTAGTGTATCTCTCTACAAACCTAATAATTTTTCCCCTTAATCAATATGTTTAATGAATATTATTTTACTATTTACAATCCTTTCTTGTATGAGAATTTTGTTATATGGTAGGTATATATGCCTTGAAATAATTTTATGAAATGAGATTTAACTTCAACTTTAAAAAGCAACAAGATAAACATGCTGTCCACCTGAAGAATACCAAATTCCTTGCAGTATTATTTGTAAATATGTCCAAATTTGTGATTGCTTACATCAGCAAAATATATTTATCAGCCCTGGCTGGTGTAGCTCAGTGGATTGAGCGCAGGCCTGTGAAGCGAAGGGTTGCCGGTTTGATTCCCAGTCAGGGCACATGCCTGGGTTGCAGGTCAGGTCCCCAGTGGGGGACACATGAGAGGCAACCACACATTGATGTTTCTCTCCCACTCTTTCTCCCTCCCTTCCCCTCTCTCTAATAATAAATAAATATATTTAAAATATATATATATTTATCAGATTGAAAATATATATACTATATTGAATTATATATGTGACTTAAAAATGAGTGCTGTGGTTTTTTAAATCTGATTAATATAGTTATTACATATAATTATATAACACAGTAAAAATTTTCAATGAAATCATAACAGTGCCACCTTGGTTGGTGTGGCTTAGTGGATTGAGTGCTGGCCTGTGAACCAAGAGGTCACTGGTTTGATTCTCAGTCAGGGCACATGCCTGGGTTGCAGGCCAGGTACCCAGTTGGGGTTGTGCAAGAGGCAACCAATCCATTTATCTCTCACACACTGATGTTTCCCTCCCTCTCTTTATCTCTCCCTTCCCCTCTCTCTAAAAGCAAATAAACAAAATCTTTACAAACATAAATTTAAAAAAGAAAAATAAAATAAAAACAGACTATAAAAAATCATAGCAGAGCCTTCCTCTGCTATAAGGAAGGATTTTTACCAAAAAGGGAGGATTTTTTTTTAGCTAGATAAGTATTAGAGGTCCACTAGTCCAAATGCAATTTCTGTATTATAACAGAATTGATTCACCAAAGTTGCCTTGTTTAGCCAATCTCTTTACTTCTATTTTTTAAGTATATTTTATTGATTATGCTATTATAGTTTTCCCAATTTTCCCCCTTCTCCTCCTCTGCCCGTCCCCCCCAACCATCCAGCTTCCCTCCCCTTAATTCATGTCCATGTTTGTACATGTAAGTTCTCTGAATTCTGTTTCCTATACCATTTTGACCTCTCCCCATCTATTTAATGTCTACCAATTACGCTTCTTCTTCCTTGTACCTTTTCCCCACTATTCTTCCCTTCCCTCTCCCACTGAAAACCCTCCATTTGATGTGCATTTCTCTGATTCTGTTCTTGCTCTAGTTGTTTGCTTAGTTTTTGTTTTTGCTGTTTTTCTTTTTTTTTTCCCCCTTAGGTTCATTTGTTGATAGTTGTGAGTTTATTGTCATTTTACTGTTCACAGTTTTTGATCTTCCTTGTCTTAGGTAAGTCCCTTTAACATTTCATATCATGAGGGCTGGGTGATGATGAACTCCTTTAACTTGACCTTATCTGGGAAGCACTGTATCTGCCCTTTCATTCTAAATGAAAGCCTTGTTGGATAGACTAATCTTGGATGGAGGTCCTTGACTTTCATGACTTCGAATACTTCTTTCCAGCCCCTTTTGCCTGTAAGCTTTCTTTTGAGAAGTCTGATAGTCTTATGAGAACTCCTTTGTAGGTATCTTTTTTTTCCTCTTGCTGCTTCTAAGATTCTCTTCTTATCTTCAAATTGAGTAACTTAATGATGATGTGCCTTAGTGTGTTCCTCTTTGGGGCCAACTTGTTTGGGACTCTCTGAGCTTCCTGGAAGTCTATTTCCTTCACCAGATTGAATAAGTTTTCCTTCATTATTTATTCAAATCACTTTTTAATTTCTTGCTGTTGCTCTTCTCCTTCTGGCAACCCTATAATTAGGATATCGGAACATTTCAGGTTGTCCCGGAGATTCCTCAACCTCTCTTCATTTTTCTTGGATTCTTGTTTTTTCATTCTGTTCCTTCCGGTTGGATATTTATTTCTTCCTTTTGTTCCAAATCATTTATTTGAGTTCCGGTTTCCTTCCTGTCACTGTTGGTTCCCTGAATATTTTGCTTTATTTCATTTTGGGTATCTTTCATTTTTCGACCAAGCTCAATCAGTTCTGTGAGCATTTTGATTACCCGGGCTTTAAACTCTTCATCAAATAGGTTGGCTATCTCCTCATCGTTTAGTTCTCTTTCTGAAGTTTTGCTCTGTTTTTTCATTTTGGCCCTATTTATTTGTTTGGGGCCTCTTTTAAGTTGTAAATTATAAGGGGGCAGGGCCTTACATATTCACCTGGGGAGGGAAAGCCTCCTTGCTGTGCTGCACTGCTGCTTGTAGGGGAGGTGCCAGAGAGGGAACAAGGCAGCTCACCTGCTCCTCTCTAGCCCACTTTTCAACAAACTCTAGTGTGAGACTGGGAGTTTCTCCCACCATGGCAACTGCCGTAGTCCATAGCCCACTCTGAGTCTCAGTTTCCCCTTAAGTCAGCCCCACTCACAATGTGATGCCTTACCAGTCTGGTTGTTCTGTTTAACTGTTTCTTTAATTCCATGGTTGTTGGAACTCCATGCAGTTTGATTTTCTGGCACTTCTGGTTGTTTACTGATTTTAGATTGCTTGTTGTCCTCCTTTTGGCTGTGCAAGGAAGCAAAGGGTGCCTCCATCTTGGCTGGAACCTCTTTACTTCTGGACCACTAATTTTATCCCATACCACACAACTGCTAAAACTTGTAAGTACATTTCATTATCAACATCACTGATATGGTTGTACAAAAAAGCCAAGTCATATGAGGTTCTGGTTATTTCTGTTTTTTATTTTTACTGCAAGAAAATAATTATAAATGAAAAGCTTTTATTAATCATGTAAAATTAATAATGAAAACAAATGATAATATTAAATAGAGCACATATAGTTCATTACATATTGAGAAACTGGACAAATCACCTTTAGGTTGTAATTTTTCATAATACTGACCACAAAAAACATTTCGAAACTATCTCCAAAGCTATCTTCTATTTAAACAAAATATATTTTAATGTACAGTATTGTTAAACATTATCAAATTAACTCATTAAGTCCTCTTTTAGAAGTTTAAGGCAAGGGCATTTAAGGAAAAAAAAGAAAAAAGAATTCATATATAATTTAAATAATTTACACTTTTATAAAATACACCAAATATTTGACCCTCAAAAGAAAACCTACATATTCCATATCAGTGTACAGTTTAAAGACCCCTTTAAATCTAGAAAAGAAAGTCAGGGAGTTTCCCCTTTTATGTTTAAGGTACACATTTTCTTTAACAACTTTTGGAGCATATATGTCATTCTTTCATTACAACAATAATGGGTTTAAATTCTCAGCTTATTTTAAGTACACAATTTTATTTGTGCAATGTGTTTGCAATCACTGTAAACCTCTGTTTCAGAAGCTCTCTTTTTTGTACCAGAAAGTTTTCAATAGTATTGGCTTCTTTGAAGAGTCCATCTATCTCATCAATATAAGATGCATCTACTGCTGCTCTCTCACTAATGGGGAAAAAAGGTTTTATGTTAAATTAAATAGTTAAATAGTTATGATATCAAAACACACGGTCATAACGATGTTCTTTATTATATTATACTTGTTAGTTATTTCATTTAAATAGCTTTGTATATTGGAAAACTTCTGTTTACAAACACTCTTCAGTGAAACTTAAATTAGTTCCACAAATATTTTGACTACTCCAATTCTCCTGACACAGCAGAATGCATATCTTATACATTATAATTCTAATACCAAACAATATACAGTCATGCTTCACTTAACAGTGGGAATATGCTTGAAGAAACGCATTGTCAGATGATCTGATTATTGCACAAACATCATAGAGTGCACTTACACAAACCCAGATGGTATATAGCCTAGTACATACTTAGACTATGTGGTATAGTCTATGCTCCTAAGCTACAAACCTGTACAACACATTACTATCTTGAATACTTTAGGCAATTTTAACCCATAGGTAAGCATTTATCTAAACATTAAAAAGTTACAGTAAATATACAGTATAAAAAAATTTTAATGGTACACCTGTACAGGGCACTTAGTGTGAATGGAGCTTGCAGGACTGAAAGTTACTCTAGTTGAGTCAGTGATTGAACAGCAAGTGAATGTGAGGGTCTAGGACATTACTGTACACTACTGTAGACTTTATAGACACTGGCTCACGAACAAAAAATGGGAAGGAGGGACAGAGGATGGGACAGAGGAGAGGCATGGGAAATCTCCAAATGTGGGAAATCTCTCTCATTCTCATTTCCATGACAAGTACCCCAACAACCTATCTATAATAAGTAGTGTCTGGAATACGAAATTAAACTACCAACGGTGGTCGCCCTCCCTAAACTCTCCTCATTCAAATCTGTCCTCACACTTCAATTAAGTCAGAAGATTCATCAATTAAGTCAGTTGATTCATGGATGAATTTCCTCATGTTACTCCTCTCCCCTGAAAGATCCACAAAGCCCTCCCTCCTACTTCCTTCTGACAGAAGGGAGTCAGAACATTGAAGGTGTTGATGCTGCTCCATGAACAGAAATGGAGGCACACTGACTGAAAATATCAAGGAGAAACTGACTAGGTAAGGCGTAAATCACCATAACAGTAACTGTCAGAAGGGGCTGAAAGGTAGCCTGAGAATCAGTAAGAATAAAAAAATCAAGAAGGAAAGACAAAGGAACATAGGGGATAGTCATATTGTCTGGCTATTGCATGTTGGAGCAAGTAGTCATATTAAAGAACTTTGTGATAATCATTTTTTAAAAGACATTATTTAACATGGGGAGGTTATAGAACTGATGATTCAATTTGACTTTGGAAATTTATTTTTGGTTCCACTGACTTTATATGGCATAAAGGGCTCTCTCTGGCATTGAACTGATGGAATACATAAAGTTTACCTATATTTTACATCATTATAACCTGAAAATATTTCCAAAGTACAGATATAGGCTGCCTCCACACTATCACAGAAAGCTTTTACTAAAGTGGCAGTGGCACTTATACTTGTTAAGATAGCTCCTTCAGAACTATGTCATTTTATAGGATCTTGGGTCCTCAGCAAGTATTGTTAATAGCAAAGTACTCTGAAGACTATCAACCTAGATCTGAGAGGGCTATAGCCCTCTCTGAAAATGGAGCACTGGGGGGAATAGTCTCTTCTGTGCTGAATCAGCTCAGTGCCTGACTGTTTAAGTAACCTGTGCAGTCAAAACTGAAGTTCCATTAATAAGAGAGAATCTACTGCCACACCCCACAGATACAAGTCCCATCAGAGGAAAACAAAATTCCTCCTAAGCCACATAACCTTCCATTTCTTACAGGAAATTCAGCTCCATTAGAATATAAGGGACCACTGTCATACATGTGGTCTGTCGTTGACTGAGACATCATTATATGGAGCATGACTACACACTATTTTAACAATCACACAAATGACTGTCCAGTAGTTTTAAAAAACACCTTGTAGCCCTGGCTGGTGTGGCTCAGTGGATTGAATGCTGGCCTGCAAACCAAAGAGTCACAGGTTTGGTTCCCAGACAGGGCACATGCCTTGGTTGCAGGACAGCTTCCCTGTGGGGGGTTGTGCAAGAGGCAACCACATATAGATATATCTCTCTCTTTCTTCTTCCCTTCCCCTCTCTCTAAAAATAAATAAATAAAATATTTTTAAAACCCCTTATAAAACATGATAATCTCACATCAATATTAAAATTCATCCTTCAAATATATACATATATTTAAATATTTCATAAATATATTTATTTTATTTTTAGTATCACTCTATTATTATCATTAACTTCACCAAATGGTAGTTTTCTAAAAGAGGTTTTATCATAAAATTTTAAATATTACATCATCTAATTAGAGAGCAAAATATATGCAGCCTAGTATTCATTCCAGTAATAGCAAACAAAGGATGTTCAGTGAAAAAGTTGGGGTTATTCTTTGAAAATAACAAACTAACTTATTATAAAAAATTGAGGTACAATTGAAAAATTCCAAAATTATAATAACTAGATAGGTTCTGCAGCCACTGAACTAAAGTTCCCATTATGGAGTTTCTAGAAGAAAACTTCTAAAATAAAGACTCAAGAGAATATACTAGAAGTACTTACCTTAAGATCTTTGCATATGTAGACAACATTAGATTAATTTCCTTGCTCATATCTATAAAAAAAATCACTTAGTTAAGTTATGAAATACCACAAACTTTCTGTTTATTATAAAAATATAAAGAAATATAAGCATTATATATATTCATCACCATTCAAATCTTTCTCCAGGGCTTCATCTTTATAAAATAGTCCAGAGCTTTCAGAGAAAGAGGAATCTGATTTTCCAAGAGAGGACAGTTGCAGACTATCTGGCATTTGAGGCTAATATACGAAAGTAAAAGAAAATAGGTAAATAGTCAACAAAATCCTTAGGATATACATTTTCTATTTTTTAAAAGCAAAATAAAACATCTTTCAGAAAAAAAGCAAATGTGCTAGAAATTATATGATCTTGTATCCTAATTACGCATTTGAAATTTTATTACCAAGGAAACTTTTAGTCTCAACAAGCACCCTATTCAACATACTAAATTTTGTTTTGACTTTTTTATTAGACTTTGAAATATGATATTAAGCTCCTGGTGAAAATGTTTCCTGTACCTTGAACCAGCAGATGTTTCCATAGAAATATAACAAAACTTTCACTTAGACAATAGCCAAATGCTTGAAAGTATTTGCAAGTAACATAATCTTTAAACAAGCAAATAACGTCCCAAATGCAAACATCAATTGGTGGGGATAGTATTGAAGAAGGGCAAAATAGAGTGTTTATTTTAAAAGATCAGCAACTCTAGTACCTAGGTATCCTACTTATTATAGCAAAATAATTATTTAAAGTTCTGGGTATCATAAAGATATTAATCTACTCCTATCCCTAGATCACAAATTACCACAAAGAAGTCTCCCAACAGTTTCTTGGTAAACTATACATTTAGTAAAAAAGCAGCTAGAGTCACCATTGTTCCTGCTGGGACAATCCCAGCTCTAGGAATGTGAAAACTTAAATTATATCTATCAACAGAACTTTCTTAACTGGAAGAAATTTGAGAATTACCATGTTTTGCCATGTATAATGTATACTTTTTGCCTAAATTTTTGAGGGAAAAATAAGGATGTACATTATTTTGGGTATAACGATTACATACCATGGGTATAATGGATATGATAATCCTGTGTATAATGCATACAAAACATGGGTGCACATTATACATGGCAAAATATGGTGTATATACAAAATAAAATAAAGTAAATCCTGGCAACTAATCAATGCCTCTCTCTCCCTCCCTCCCTTCCCTTCTCTCTCTAAAAAAAACACAAAAAAAACACATAAAATCTTATAGAATCATAAAATAAAATAAAACATTAAGGTTCAGGGAGCATATAAATTACCTCCAACTCTCTTGGTCTCTTGCAGTTTCCAGTATCAGATTTTACAAGGTGACTTGCCATCATATTCTGTAGACAAGAGCTGCAAAATATTGAGTAATGCCAAATTTAAGTACCAACTCCATGCTACACAGCCCTCTTAAAAATTTCCCCTTCTGTCCACTCGGTGCCACAGTTAATTCAGACTCTCATTATCTGTCACTCACCTAAACTACACATTTTTTCCCTTCTCTAATTTATCCTACCAACTGCTGTTTGGGGAGTCTTTCAAAACTCTGATTACCGTATTCCCTTAACCTTTCAAAACTTTAACTACTGCATTCCCTTATCTCAAAAACTTTTCCTTTACTATTCACTGATCCAGAATAAGTTCAAATTCCATTCCTATATCATCTAGGGCCAATCTACCATTCCCATGATTTTCCTCTATTGCTTCTACATACAGTGAGCCAAGCTAGTATCTCTGGCGCTATTGCCTTGCATCAGGAGTCATTTAAGATTCTTCTACCATTACAATATCTTAATGTTCAAATAGATATTATTGTTCATCTAAGTCAATCTCATTTTTTCACAGACATGAAAACAGGGGCAGAGATAAGTTGACCAAATTCAAACAAGTAAAACTGGGATGGACTACACCAGATCTTTTCTAGCCTGAAGTCTGCTCCTACCTTCATGTACCACAAAATTTGACTTTTAAATTATTTTTCCATAAAAAATTCTTAAGATAATTTCCCTAGGTGTCTGAAAGATTAAGTTTAAAGAGAAAATGCTGCAACCCAGAATGGTATAGGCTCTACATCTTAAAGAGGAGGAGTCCTGTCTCCACTCAAGCTATCAATTAACTTAGCTTGTTTTTCAGAAATTATGCTGATGTCAATAATTTTAATTAACCTGTTTGATTAGTCACATGTAATATTCATATATACATATATATAAGCCTGTAAAAAATAATAAGGATGTTTGTTTAGTAAATTCCATCTAATGCTTCTACATTCCTGTCAGTACCTTTCTGGTAAGTTTAAGTGTCATAATAGTAATAGGTAGAAAACTCTACACATGCACCGTAGTGCTGGCTTTGCCATGGGAAGTTTGAAAATGTCTCATAGAAACCACCAAGTTACTCTTCTCCCTTCCCCCTTTTTCTCTTCTCTTTTCCTCTTCCACCTCTTCTCTCAAAAAGTAACTGCATGTGCACACATTTCAAATACAATTAGGTCATTCTGTTTCTGGAAAAAAATTATTTCTGTCACAACACAGGGCCTTAGATGAATCCAGGCCTGGTCAAGAGCCTGGGCCTCGTCCTGTGACAAACGCCATTCACAGCCACTGACGCCAGCTGTGCAATCCACGGCTTCAGTGACGCCATCACTACCAAGATCGATCCCTTTGCCGTATACAATTTCTTTTCCCCTAGTTTTGTCTTTCTCCTCAGTGCCACCTCACGCCCTCAGGCCCTTTCACCCACCTTGTTTCTCATTTCCCATCACCCTCACACCACCCCCCTCTCCGTCTTTCCACCCTACTGGTGAGTCAGCCCCACTAAAGACACTAAGAGGAAGCCTTCACCATTTCTCACTGTCTTCTTTCACTCTCACACAAACAGTCATGCCTCCAGCCCCAACCCCAAACCAGTCAGTCTACCGCCCGCTGTCCTCAGGACCTCTCCACCTCGGCAAACGCGCGGGAAAGAAGAGGGCAGCCTTGTGCTAGTGCGCAGGCGCCTCAGGCTCCCTAGACGCTGTGGGCGTGGGCGGCAGCGAGAGGCTCCTGACGTTCAGGCACGCAGGGCACGCAGCGTATGCTAAGCACGTGAGGGAGCCGGAGGCGCCTCCGCCTCCTGGAGTCCAGTCCGCAGTCAGGTCTCAGTCCTAACGCTCTGTTACGAGAAAGCGGCTTTTTTCTGCTTCTCTCTCACGCGTCCCTTCGATTTGGAATCACTGGGAAACAAAATTCCCTGCCTCCCAGCGTGTGTTTGGGGAAGAATAGGAAAAGAACGTGGAAGAATTGCCAGAGCAAGACTAGATAGTGTCCCAGCCATTTTGGAATCTCAGAAAAGGAACACAAAGTAGTGCATCCACCACCACTTTTACGTCTTATTCCACACGGTTTGTGTGATGGAAGGGTTTATGCCTGAATCCCCCTGGCCTGCAAGCAAGCCAGACTTCAAGATCAGACAGAGCCTCCACTCCTTGACTGAGTTTTCTTTGGTGCGACCAAACTTTGAGAATCATGCCCTTTTAGAAAATTACATTCCTGATATGCCAGTGAGTTTAGTCCACTTAATTGACAGCATTCAAGAAACGTTTTGTAACACACGTGACCCACATACTTGAAGCTTTGCCTATTGAGTGCTTTAATGTGGTGACTTTGACCTGTAATTTCAGGGATAGACATTTAAACTTATGCCCAGTTAGATGATATGGAAATAAAAAAGGATATCAGCTCATAAAACAAAGGTCAATAACACCCACCCCCATTAATTCCAGGTACCCAGTCTTACACCTGTACAAATTTATGACCCATACCTTAACCTAGACTAATAGGGAGAACCTATAGGAGCAGCTCACACCCTATGTCTCAAAAAGCCCTGTGGGAAGAGCTTTATGTGTTACAACAGAACTCACGGTTGTAACAGCTCCTTCAATTAACTTGCTTTTCCCTTCTATAAAGTACCTCCTTTTTCCAGGCATGAATCTCCACATGGCTGGCCATATCTGCACATTTTGTAGTGTGATCTTTCTTTTCCTGAATAAATACTTTTCTGTGAGGGAATACCTATACCACTTTTGCTTACAATTGACATAGGAAATTAATATTTAACATATAAAATTATATGTTTCTCTCCCTTGGTTTATTTATTAGAGAGAGGGGAAGGGAAGGAGAAAGAGAAGAAGAGAAACATTGATCGGTTGCCATTCATATGTGCCCCAGCTGGAGCCAGCCCACACCCTAGGCATGTGCCTTGACCCCAGAATCCAACCAGCGACCTTTCACTTTTGAGTGTCAGCCCAACCGGCTGAGCTACACTAATCAGAGCTCTTTGGCTTATTTAAATACTAGTTGTCATACAGACTTGTAAGTGTTGTGTGTATATGTTTATTTATTGCCTGTTTATGAAAAAGCTGATTGTTTTAAATAAGTTCCTAGAAAACACATGCTCAATTTGTTTAACTTTATTTCCTAATATTGTGACCTATCAATCACTTAATAAAACTAGGCTAGATAATTATGGTGTTAGTTATTGACAGTCTTTAAAGGATGTTAATCTGTGTTGAATTTTCCCCATCTGTGGTAAAATGAGGGAAAAGGTAATGAAAATTTCATAAAACTAATTTGTTTTTTAAAAATGTCATTTATTCTGATACTATGTCCTAATATTTTTGGTGTTAAAGTGTCCTTCCATGAAATAAAAATATAAAGACTTTTAGATTTTTAATGTCCTTAGTAAAATATAAAGTTATTCATTCAGTGTTTACCTAGTCTTTATTATCATTATTATTGGTGTTATTTTATGATCATTATATTCTAAAGTGTGTAAAATACTGATCTAATTCCTCTCCCAGCCTTCACAGGTAGTTAATCAGTTTTTAAAATATTTCCAGGAGCCGTGACTGGTGTGACTCAGTGGGTGGGGCATCATCCCACAAACTGAAAAGTTGAAGGTTCAATTCCCAGTCAGGTCACATGCCTGGTTGCAGGCTGGGTCCCCTGTTGGGGCATGTGAGAGGCACTCTCACTCATCAATGTTTCTCTCCCTGTCTCTCTTCTTCCCTCCCCCCTCTCTAAAAATAAATAAAGAATATCTTTTAAAAAATAAAAGATGAAATAAAATATTTCCAGAATAAACATAAATGTTTACATCAGATTAAGAAAACACTATGGTCATTTCATTTTACTTTTAAAATCTTATCTCAATAGTATAAGCTAAATGAGTAAAAACAAGTGAGAGGGTGAGTAGCGTTATTGTTGTCTAGTGCTTTAAAATATTCAGCCCTGGGGAGGACTTCCGCAAAGATGGAGGCATAGGTGGAGACACCGTGCTTTCTCACACAACCAAGTTTAGAGACAACAAAATATTAGCAATAGAGAACACAGCCAGAACACAGAAAACTGAACTTTTTGAAAGTCTGATAACAATGAACGCTTCAGCCTGACCAGTAAGAGGGGTGAAACCAGCAGCTGGCGGAGCAGGGTTGCACAGGAAAACTCGGTCAGACAGACGCAGGAGCATGGATCCCTGGTGTGGGGCTGCAAAGGGCAGACCCAGTGAGCACAACCCAGTGAGTGACCCAGTGAGCAACTGGCGGATCTGGTGAGGGTGAAGGGTGGTGGGTTGACTGTGGTAGTGCATTCCTGAGCAGATAGTCCAGCGAGGGAGTGGGCAGTGAGACAGGACCGAGTGGGTCCCAGCGACAGGAGGCAGCAAAGAGGGCTGCCATTTCCCCACTCTGACCCCACCCCCACATACAGCATCACAAACCAGGGACCCCGCCCTGGAGGCCCCACCCCACTCCTAAGGCTCTGCTCCTCATACTTAATGGGTGCAAACAGACCAAAATGGCTCAAGAAGATCTCAAAGTCCCGGAGCCCATAACTCTAAGCGACAAAGAAATAGCAAAACTTTCAGATGCACAGTTCAAAACACTGGTGATCAGGATGCTCACAGAACTGGTTGATTTTAGTCACAAATTAGAGGAACATATGAAGGCTAAACTAATTGAAATGAAGGGAATTGCACAGGAAACCAATAGGGATGAAAAGGAAAGTGGGACTCAAATCAAGGGAGTGAACCAGAGGAAGGAAAAAATGACCAAACAGAAAAGGATGAAGAAACAAGAATTCAAAAAAATGAGGAGAGACTTAGGAACCTCCAGGACATCTTTAAACGCTCCAACATCTGAATTATAGGGGCACCAGAAGGGGGAAAGGAACAGCCACCAGTGGAAAACTTATTTGAACAAATAATAAAAGAGAATTTCCCCAATCTGGCAAAGGCAATAGACTTCCAGGAAATCCAGGAAGCTCAGAGAGTCCCAAAGAACTTGGACCCAAGAAGAAGCACACCAAGGCACATCATCATTACATTAGCCACGATTAAAATGAAGGAGAGAATCCTAGAAGCAGCAAGAGATAAGGGGACAGTTACCTACCAAGAAGTTCCCATCAGACTGTCAGCTGATTTCTCAAAAGAGAACTTACAGGCAAGAAGGGGCTGGAAAGTGGTATTCCAAGTCATGAAATCCAAAGACCTACAACCAAGATTGCTCTATCCAGCAAAACTTTCATTTAGAATGGAAGGACAGATAAAGTGCTTCTCAGATAATATTAAATTCAAGGAGTTCATCATCACCAAGCCCTTATTATATGAAATGTTAAAGGGACTTATCGAAGAAAAAGAAGATAAAAAAGATGAACAGTGAAAGGACAGTAAATTCACAGTTATTAACAACCACATCTAAAACAAAAGCAAACTAAGTGGACAGCTAGATCAGGAGCAAAACCATAGAAATGAAGATCTCATGGAGGGTTAGCAACAGGGGAGTGGGAGGAGGAGAAGGGGGGAGAAGGTACAGAAAATAAGTAGCATAGATGGTAGGTAGAAAATAGACGGGGGAGGGCAAGAATAGTATGGGAAAGATAGAATCCAAAGACCTTGAGACACATGGTCATAAACTAAAGGGGGGGAATGCTAGGGGTGGGGGGGTGCAGGGTGGAGGGGAATGAAGGGGGGAACAGAACAACTAATGGCATAATCAATAAAATAAAAATTTTTTTAATCAAAAATAAAAATAAAATAAAATTGCTCCAAAAAATATATATTCAGCCCTGGCTGATGTGACCAGTGGATGGAGTGCCAGCCTGCAAAGCAAAGGGTCACCAGTTCAATTCCCAGTCAGCACGTGCCTGGATTGCATAGTGTTTACTGTGATGTGGGCCAGGTCCCCAGGATGTGGCACATGAGAGGCAATCACACATTGATGCTTCTCTTTCTCTCTTTCTCCCTCCCTCCCCCTCACTCTAAATATAAATAAATAAAATCTTTAAAATAAAATAAAATATTCAAAGAACGCCCTCACCATTGGTTGGGTGTCATCCTGTTAGGTCTAGGATCCACAGCAAACCAAGGCAGGGAAGGGGAGGGAGACATGTGTCACCCACTAACTCAGCAGTCCTGAGCCTGGTCCAATAATATTGCCAAGTGTTCCAACATCACACGAAACACCATGCTTACATGGGAGGAAGGGAGTCCTTGAAATTCTGTGTATCAATTCCACTATGGGGAAGAATCTATACACTGTATTTTCATCCCAAAGTCTGCAGGAGAGGGTCCCCAGCACTCAAAGGGCTCATAAAACAGCTTTGGTTAATTGCCTACCTCTGGTCACTATCTGTTTTACCAGAAAAAGCCCATAAATAACTTGGGGTAACTACCTCAACTTTAATTAACTGCCTCTGGTTACATATCTGATTTACAAGATGAACAAATGGGGTCTGGAGCAAGATAAGGATTCGAGCTAACAGACCCCTACACATACCTAAATTTGGGTAGTAACATCCCCCAGGGAAATCTGGCACCACCTTACCTGTCAATCAATATGTAACTTTTTTTACCCACACTGTGCGATCTGTGTAAGTCCTCAAGACAAAGGACCTGATGCCTTTGGCCACCCTTACCTTGCCCTGCCCTGAACCTATGCCTTTCAACCCCCACCTTAGCTAGGCTTGTTCTCGTCCTTCCATGAGAATTAATCACTAATAAATACTGCTTACATAATAATAGATTTGCTGATCTGTAATTTTTTACTGTGACTGCAAGAGGAACTGAGTTTCTCCTGCAACAATCCCCTAAAACAAAAAGGTGCTGGCTCGATTCTGGGTCAGGGCGCACGCCTGAGTTGCAGTTCTGTCCCTGTCCCTGTGTATGTGTGTTTGTGTGTGTGTGAGAGAGGCAACCTGTAGATGTTTCTTTCCCTCTCTTACTCCTTTCCTTCACTTCTAAAAATAAATCAATAAAATCGTTTAAAAAATTCAAAGAGCTATCATCATTTCATTTCATCTTAAATGTCCCTATGAAGTAGGCAGCACATGGAGACATTTGGGCTACTCTATATCAAAGAAAAAATTGTGTCCTGAAACTGAGAAATGTGGTAAGTTATGCATTCTACATCTTTACAGCGGGAGAAAAATAATTTGCAAAAGGCCATTTAAAATTAAACTTGTTTGGTCCTCTGCTACTGATCACTATTTGACACTGCCTCATGCTTTCATGTTAATTGGCCTGATTGGACATTACAGCTAGAGAATAAAAACTTATTCCAATTTCAATCGTATGTGTATTCTTTTACACTTCTTAAGTGTGCTATGTTTTACTTCTGATAATCACCATACCAAGCACCTTCAGCCATCCTGCCACAGACTTCCTTTGTAATCACTACTGTGGATATCATATAAAATGTGATATAAAAATATGATATAAAAATATTTGCTTTTATCATATATAAAAGTATGATATAAAAGTATTTGACCTTACATATGACCTTGTGAAATGAAAACACTCTTGTTAAAAACAAAACAAAAACATTTGAACTAGATGCTAATGTAAGCATTGTGTTTCGTAACTCTAGAACCCCTCTATTCCCATACAGTCTCTGTAATGGCAATAAAACAAAAACCAAAAGTCATCGTACTGATTACCTTTCTAGCAAGATAGTACAGTTTAGGTAGTACAATTTGAAATAGTAAGTGACAATAATACAGTAAATAACCTAGAGAAACAAAAATTCTTCAAGGTCCTCAATAATTTTTAGATATGTAAAGAAATCATGAGAATAAAAGTTTGATAATTAAGAGAAAATTGTCTAAAGAAACTTTATTTCTACTAGTTATTTTCAAGCCTGTGATGTTTACACTCTGCTTTCCAAAAGTTATGTTTTAGGTGTTATAATTACATTATATTAATTATTTTAATAAGGCTAATTATTCACAAAAGAAAATTTTGTGCTTAAGTATGAGTTGAAAGTCTCAAACAGATTAATGTGAAAAAGATGTTTTTAATTGAGCAAGCAGGTGCTCTTTTTAAAGTTGCTTGGATGTGCTTCTGAAAGAGGTACAAACTTTGGACAGTAGGAACTCCAACTTCTACAGAAGAAATTATTTATTAAAATACTAATTTTACATTAAAGAAATAACCATGTTTTCTCACAATTTTTTTAAAGTTCTACTGCCTTAAGAAAGAGCTCCTGGTTGAAGGCGGGCCCATGGCGTGCCAAGAAGTCTCCTCCTCCCTCCATTTCTTCCTTCTTTTGCCGAGCAACTACAAGCTGCCTGCATTCCTGCTTTGGCTGCTGAAGGGATTGTCACCTTCCCCTGTCTCCACAGCCTCAGAAAAAGAAAAGAGACCTCAAACTTTCCGGATCACTTTTTCTCCTAGGAAACTACTGAGCACAGGTAAGAAATATCATTGCTCTTTATTTGGAAACCAAAGCGTGGTGATTAGAGGTAAACAAGCTAGAAAAGCGATTGAGAGAAATTTAAGTCATCTGACATCACTCCGATAGGCAGTCAAGTCAGAGTAGAAACTTGTTCTCTCTTTTAGCCAGCTTTGGAGAACCCTATTTTAGAGCAAATATTATCAAACTTTTATTTTCATGACTTCTTTACATATCTAAAAATTACTGAGGACCTTGAAGAATTTTTGTTTCTCTAGGTTATTTACTGTATTATTGTCACTTACTATTGGAAATAAAAACTGAGAAATTTTAATCATAGCGACCTATTATTTATTTTAAAAATAATGATAAGCACATCACATGTTAAAATAAATAACATTTTAAATTATAGATCCACAAAAATAACCTGCAAAGGGTGACATTGCTTTTTATTTTCACAAATCTTTTTAATGTCTGGCTTAATAGAAGATAGCTGCATTCTCATCTGCATCTGATTCAGTCTATGTAATATCACACAGAATGCAGCCTCCGGTAAACTCTAGTGTGTACCCGTGAGAGAATGAGAATGAAAGAGACAAATTAACCTTAAAATTACTATGACAATAGCTTTGACCTTGTGAACTCCCTGAGTACTACTGATTTGGAATGATAAAATAAATGAGCTTTTCTTTAAAGGGAGTCTCAACTCTGAATCACTTACTTTAAAAGCAAACAAAAAATTGGCCGAAGGTTGACAATCATGATGGAATCTGCATTATCACCTTAGTCTCCGCTACAGTTGGGTAATATTATTGCATTCCCCAGGAGAATCTCACAGTAAGAAAGGGGCTGAATAAATATCTCTGTTTTGAAGTATGAATAATAAAAATTAGAACACTCTTAAAATCCTCTTTTCTTTTTGCCTATATCTAGTTATTTCAAGTTCTATTAAATCTTCCTTTAAATTTTCTTTGTAATTCTGATTTATTCATATAATCCCTATATAAATACTGCGAATTCTTACTTGAATTTCCACATGAATTCTTTTATTAGTTTCATAACATGTCTCTAATTTATTTCATAATGCACTGTCAGCTCAGTAACCTGCTTTCTAATTGCTGGTGAGATTAAATTCAAATGCTTCTATGTGATTTGCAAAGCTCTCCATAATATAACCCCACCCTTCCTTGTGTTCACAGCAGGCAGCAGGGTTGTTGCAATACAATAAAAAATGTGGCCCCACTCAGTTCCCCCCCATCACAACGCTGTCTTTGTTACCACATAAATGTGTTTAAACTTTGAGCATTCTTTAAGATTAAATTTAATTTTCCTTTAAAACAAGGCCATTTCAGTTATATCAGTTCTGTTTTGGTTTTTTGTTTTTAGTCTGCATTTGGCAGTTTATTTTGTATCTTTTATTATTTATTATTCATTATTTATCTAAATCTTTACCTGAGTTTCCACCCACACCTGCACCACACCACACTCACACACATACATTAATAAGATGGCAAAAGTTTTGAGGACAAAATAATTTACAGAACTTAAAAGTTGGATTTTGAATCTTATTCAAGCTGACTATGTATCTGATTTCAGGTAATTAGGTAATGCGCTTCCTCATTTAATCCCATATTATTCCACAGAATTGGAATTCCGTAGCAAAGTTAAACATAATTACAGTTGCTTTTCAAGTTCAAGGCATTCTTACTTTTGACCTAATAGCATGGTTTTAAATTCCTACTAGCTTAACAATGGCAGTTATATAATAAATATTCAATAAATATATGTTGTTTTAGAATTATGAGGAAGTGGTTACTGGGACATTTGCCACAAATAAATGGTTGTTTCCTTGCAACCTTATCTAGAATCTAGAATTAAAGAATGCTTGTGTTGTAAAGGACCTTAAAGATTGACCATTTAACTCCCTGTTTATCCAAATGAGAAAATTGACACGCTCAGAGTTAAATGACTAGCACCAGACAAGTTTGGAATGCATGTGGCCTAATTTCCGTCATGATTTTCTGCCATCCATCAACCTCTAGCTAGTTTCCAAGGCTTGCATGACATAACTTTTTGTTGTTGTTGTTTCAAAGAACTAATTGTCTCTGCATATTCTTAGGAGGATCTTTCTGAGGTGGTTTATATATAACTCTTTAAAAAAAGAGTCAATAATCTGAGTATCTTACATGAAATACTTTTAAGCATTTTTATCCAATGGAAACTATAATTTTTAAAGATTAGAGTTAAGAAAGCAAAGGAATACAGATGAGAAAGGAAAAGGAAAATTGGAGGAAGGAAGCGGAAGGGAACATGATACTTGTAACCATAGGTGTATTAGGATTTAACAAAAAAAATGGTAAGAGGTGAAGGAATTCAAAATCAACACATCAAGTAAAGAGAAACTATAAGGGGAAAAAAAGAAGAGGAAGACTATTAGGGAAATTATTCTATTTTTTTAATATGTTTTCAGAATTACCCCCATTTTCTTTTTCTCATTGGCTTTAGGATGGAAAGTTTTAAGACAAAAAAAACTCTACCAGCCCTTTATACATTGTTGTCATGATGACAAGTTTTATTATAGCAAACATTTATTTATTTACTGTGTACAAGTTTTTTTCAGGTGTTGAATATTTTTTAAAAAGGACAAATTGTCTTTAAGAAATTCACTTTAAAGCTGGCCAGAACTACTTGTTATAAGAATAATCTTAATTCAATGTAAAATCTACTTCAGAAGACTGAGTGGGGATAGTTGGGGAAGGTAGGTAATGAAAATGATTAACTAGAAATGTAGGAGTCAGGGAGGTTTACCTAGAGATGTTTGAACTGGGATTTAAAGGATGAAGGAGGGCTTGGCAGGCAGCTAGCAAGGGAAGTTCCAGTCTTGGGGCAGGAGAAGGGAGGCATGAATAACTCTGGTAACAGTTATGTAGCAGGGGAGAGTCTGGATACAAGAAAAGTGAGAAGAAGAGTATTAAAGTAGAAGATCCATAAGTGATAAGAGCTTCATTTAAAACAGTGCTGGTAGAGATGGAGAGGTTACACCAAATTATAAAGACACTTCTGAACTATAATGTACAGTATTTATGAGACAAAGAAAAGGTTAGTCAAAAGAGTCAAGAAGGGCTTCCAGGTTTCAGTTTTGAACAAATCATTTGGACATGTTTGGAAAAGTAATTCATTAGTACAATATATCTTACAGCTGGACTGAATCTGAAGCCGGAAATTGATATTTGCAAGTTATGTACCTCACAGTAACTACTACCTTCTCTCTTTACTTTATCACCAAACTTCCTAAAAGAATTCCTAGTTTGTATTTACTGTCTATACTTTTTCCCCATCCCATACTAACCTAAATCTTTGTCAACCTGCCTTTTACTACCTCCGCTTTCCCCAAATTTTTCTACAGATACCAAAACTTCCTAATTGTCAAATTCAATGAACAAGTTTAAGCTGGTATCTAAGTTTGGGCTCTGCAGTATCTGATTTCAAGCAGTCCCTCCCTGATGAGCCTTTGTCCCCTGACTTCTCTGGCATTTCTCTCTTAGTTTTGTAAAAGTGAACTAATTATTTTCCACTCCAGTCTCTCTGTCATTCTCTCTTTATTTAGTGATGTAACACTCAACTAATTGTCAAGTAAGAAACTTTGAAGTCATCTGTTTCTTTTTCCATTTGACCCACTGCCAATCAGTTAAAAAAATCCTGCTGTCTAATCTCTCTTGAATCCATCCCCTCCCTTTCATCCCTGCAGCCTTAGTTTACATAGCCTCAGCAACTCGAACCTTAACTGCTTTGGTTTGTTTGTCTTAACTGTTAAAATTGCTTCTAAGGTTGTTTTCTGGCCTCTGTCCAGTCTTGCTCCATCAAATCTATTTTCTACATTGCTGCCAGATTATTGACTTTTTAAAAAAGATTTTATTCGTTTATCTTTAGAGGAGAAGGGAAGGAAAGAGGGAGAGAAATATCAATGTATGGTTGTCTCTTATGTGTCCCCCACTGGGAAATGGCCTGCAACCCAGGCATGTGCCCTGACTGGGAATCGAACCCCGATCTCTTAGTTCCCAGGCCCATGCTCAATCCACTGAGCTACACCAGCCAGGGTTAGATTATTGACTTTTTAAAACATAAATTTGACCACATTTTTCTCCTACTTAAAGTAAGGCAGTATTTTTTTCAGAAAAAAAATAATTCAAACTCTTTAACCTAATTAAAGAGGATAATCTGACTCTACAAGTTTTTGTCAAACCAAATTTCATTGCAAGTTGCTTTTTATGTGACTTGAGTTAGGCAGAATCAGATAAACGTAATATAAAAATAATAGTCTCACTTAGTGATCCAAATTAGTTTATCAAAATGGCATAATTTCACAGTGGTAAGCCAAGTGAGCTGTGCACTGTGACACTGCTGCTACATGGAAGTGTCTCTTCCGCCTGGTAGAATGAGCTGCTGCCATGTCAATATTATGTAAGCAAGGCTACTCTAAATAACTCAGAAATTCTTGAGATATACAGGTATTGTGCTGTTAATTTTTTAACATTCACTACTATTATAATTTAAAATATTTTTATATTTGAAAATGATGTTATCAAAGTGCTAAGGGGTATTATTACTGCTTGTGTTGAAAAACAAAGAAATCAAGTGGTACAAAATTTAGGTGCAAGTAAACAATATTAAAAAGTCCAAAGCATCACAATGATTGCTGTGTAGAGAGAACAGTCTGCAAAATATTAGTAAAAATGTCGAGAAAGTTCAAAAAAGAAAGAAAGAAAACATTTTGGTTGTATATCTATAGACTCCAAAGGTATCTCCTCACAAACTTTTATATTAACTCCCAAGAAAAATTTAATTTTGAACTATGGTGAGATGTTCAGAAACACATTCTTTCTGTAAAACGTGACTGCATTTGCTTTAATTATGGTAAAAATAGTGAGACTCCAAACAAGCCATGTTTTCTCAGCTTCCCTGCCTCCTGGCTTTTGCTCGCATTGTTCTCTCCTAGTGGAATGCCCACCCCACCCCTACCTTGAAAAATGCCTGCCTCTCTTTCAAGGCAGCACAATCATCTTTTTCTCAAAGAAGCCTTCTTCGACACCACCAGGCAGAGGGGATCTCTTGTAAATCCAATAGTTATAGCATTTATTATCCTATTTTGTGATTGATTACATACTTATCTCTCTCACTAAACTCTGAGTAATTGGAGGGTAGAAACTAAGTCTCTTGCATGTGTGTTTTGTCAGCTTTCTAGCCCCATGCCTGATACATAATGGATACTCAACAGTGAATAGATGAATGAATTCAAATATTGTGTATTATTATTATTATTATTATTATTAAGGTAATTTTATCTTCTAAATCCATTAACTCTTTGACTAACTACTGTAGTAAACACTATTAATTTTATACAATTCTTACACATACTACTTAGTATTTTTCAGATAAATTACTTCATAACATATGTGTGCATTACATATTAAAGTTTGTAGAAAAGACTGCCCGAGACATTATTTCCCCAACTCTACACATATATGTTTGTATACTATATATCTACAATTTAATAACTATCCATATTTGTATGAGTATAAGCAACTGCACCTAGATATAACTGTTAAATAGCCACCAACTAACAAGTATTTTGGGTCAGCTTAATTTGGATTAAGTTTTTGGACCTGGGTTTTAATTTCCTGATCCCTCTACTATATATATTTGGCATTAGCAGTCTATGCTAGAAAAATTTGAGTCAGTTGTCAACTTATGAGCGTAAACTTATAAATAGCCCTGTGTATACCTGTGAGAGCTGTGACTCAACCACCTTTGGAGCCCCAACTGTAACTGCCCTCAGGGACACAAGGTACTCCTGAGCTCCGGAGTAGGGCTTCCTAATCATTCCTGTGGCATAGACCCACACGGACAATCTGATAGTCTGTGGGCCACTTCTCAGATCAGGTTTTTACCTACATAAAATTAAATACCTAGGAATATAAAGGAAACTCATTATATTAAAATAGCATTGTCAAAAAATGTTTAACAAATTTTGATATAGTACATATGTGCTTCTTTATTAACACATTAAATAACAAGATCTACTAGTGAAACTAATAACTTCCATATATTTCTAAGGAGGAATGAGTTTAAACCATGCATTTCAAGATCTCTGCAACCATTACAACATAATAGGAAATCTGTATTCTATTAGTGACAGTTACTACTATTATAATAACAGTGTGGTTTGTTTCCTATAACATAATGAAAGGGACTATTAAACTTTAATTAGAAGAAAATAAATACAGAGTGGGGCAAAAGTAGGTTTACATTGTGACATGAAACATGAAACGCAGAATTTATTCTTGTATTATTATTTATTAATTACTGTATTATTTTCCACATCAACAACTGTAAACCTACTTTTACTCTACCCATATGTAATTTTTTTTCCCAGCCAATTTCCCAGATTTAGAACCCCTGTTCCATAGGCAAAGGTCTAAAAGTATACACTCCATATCGGAAGGGGGTAGGTAGGCTGGAGCAGAGGAGAAAAACAAAAAGAAGAATTTTTGACATTTTTCAAATATTATATTATTTGATTTTTTAAACAGAAATATTGCATTTATGTGTTACTTGTGTAAAAGGCATAATATCCAGATTCCCAATAAAAAAAACTGCTCCTGCCCAAAGAAAAAGAGTGCCAGAGCCCTTCAGCCTCTTCCTACTTGCCCCCAATCCCAGGTGGAAGCACCATTTTTATCATCACCTCACCTTTAGCACTTTGATAACCAACCTTTGCTTTGTCATACACAGGAATCTATTGGTTGTAAGACTTATAGAACCAATCTGCAGTTAAAGAGCAGGATTAGGAGTGTTTCTGGCATCTTATATTTATATTGATAATATAATTCAGTTCAATAATGGGCCACTTATTTACCGTTTGTAACATTGCTTAATGAGAAAATGCTTTCTAGATTCCAAATATCTGATGGTTTGCAGGAGAACATTTGAACACGTGTGTTCATAAAATAAAGACTCCCGCTATTTATTAAATGGCCAGAGTGTTCGTCAGCATACTGGGTGATACACTGACTTCTGAGTTTGGAGGTAGTATAAGGTAGTAGGTAGAAAAGATTCCTTTTATGTAAGAGTAACAATCACTATCTTTTAACATATGACTCTTTGCTTTTATCAGGAATAGAGATGGCTGTTGAACTAGTAGAAGACAATTGCATCAACTTTGTGGAAATGAAATTTATTGACAACACACTTTACTTTGTAGGTAAGTCCAAAGCCATAGACCAAATACAGAGTTCAGATTAATGTATTCAACTGGAAAAAGTGTTGTGAGATGAACTATTAAGTGATTCCTTACTGTCATCCAACTCTATTGTAATGCTAATGATATTCTTGTCTGAAAAAAAAAAAGTATTGGACTTCTGGAAATGAACCATAATATACCTAAGGCCCCAGCACCTTGTCCTATCACATGACCTGGCACTTTCATTAGCAGTAGCCCACTTACAAGGTGGTAGCAAGCATATATCATGATAATTCCACAAAATTGGGTACATTCAGAGAATACAATTTTCCAAAGCAAATTGGCAAACTATATAAGAAATACCTTAAATGAAGAGCTCTGTGAGTTAGCTATGCAATATAATGTAAATATATTTAACAAATACAAACAGATTCTTATGATTAGTCTTCCACAGATTATTTGGCTTCATTTGAAAGCTTCAAAGAAAATCATGAGGCAACCTTCCATTGAAGCAATAAATTAAAGAGTGAAATCTATCACTTTATAAAATTTCTTTTTAGCTACAGATTTTTATTTATAAATCCCAGATTTAGGTTTCATGTCTAACTTACCAGAGAATACACTAAGTCTAATGAGCTTCATTTTATGGGACATTTTGGATGATTATATAATGTATCTGCTGAGGCCACCAACAAAGGCCATCACCAGTAAGACAGGAGTTGAAGATTGGGAAGTGGCAGAAAAGAGTAACAAAAGGTAGGGTGAGAGGAGATTCTGAGTTCAAATACAGAAATTAACATTTTGTTTCTCTTTTTTTTTCCCTTTAGCCGAAGATGATGGTAAAGTATAAATTCATTTCTCTTTCTTTGCAAAAGTAAAAATAGCTACTTGAGTAAGCAGCCCACAGACACACCCATATCACCATTCTCAGCTGAAAGAAACTGGTACCAATCTGTTTGAGAAGCTAATCTTCCCTCAAAGGAATGTGGAGCCAATAGCACAGCCTTGGAATAAAGCTGACCATAAAGGATACAAAAAAGAACCTCTAGCAAAATTGCTTCTTTAGCCCTGACCAGTGTGGCTCTGTTGGTTGGGTGTCAGCTTGCAAAGCAAAAAGTCACCAGTTCAGTCAGGGCACATGCCTGGGTTGTGGGTTCCGTCCCTGGTCAGGGCATGTGCAAGATGCAACTGACTGATGTTTTTCTCCCGCATCAATGTTTCTCTTCCTCTCTTTCTCCCTCCCGTCACCACTCTTTAAAAATGAATAAATAAAATCTTTTAAAAAATTGCTTCTCTACACATTAGCAAATTCTCCATCTCTTAGAATCTACAAAGCAGACATTGCTTGTTATATAGATTTTGAGGTTAGCAAGACATCATGGATTCTCTAGAGTACATAGGAAGAGGAGTTTAAAATATGAGAACTGTAGGCCCAAATCAAGAACATCTTCTTCAATCCTCTCTTTCAGAAATGCTTTGGGAAGAAGCCTGGGAGGATCCCAGGGAAATAAAATTTTCAAAGTTGAGAAAGTAAGGAAGGTTGGAGCAAGCAAGAACTATGAGTTTGAGTCATTAAGTCTTCTCAAGAAGTGGATGTACCCAGCCCTTGTCCTTTGGGCATTCAGGGAAGATCTTGGCCACATCTAATCTAGCCTGTGATCCTCTAATACACAGGTAGCAAACACAAGGCCCACGGGCTAAATCCAGTCCTCCACCTTGTTTTATCCGTCCTGACACCTTGTTTCTACCGAGCAGCAGCGCTGAGATCTTTCTTTACTGTTAAGGAGTAGTTACATTTGTACAGTCCTAAAAGTACATTTGGGCCTTTGAAGGCAACCTCAAGGCTGATATGGCCCCTGGTGAAAATGAGTTTGACACCCCTGCTCTAACAGATGCCCAGATTCTTAAAGGTCATTAGTTTCTCACACTTTGCCTTAAAAATAACACTTCATCATTTTAAGGTGATCCTCACTGGCCTAGAAATAGAAAAGAGTAACTTTTTAAAAAATAGTATTTATGTTTCTTTTTTGTTCCAGCTTTATTGAGACATAACAACATGTAACTTCTCATGTTTCTTAAAGATTGTCCTACTCTCCATTTATTAATTCAGTATATACAGGGTGGGGTTTATAGTTCATATGGAAAATAATACAATAATTAATAAATAATAATATAAGAATAAACTCTGTTTCACGTACTCTCAACCGTAAACCTACTTTTGCCCCACCCTATACTGGCATTTATCTCTCAGGCATTGTTCCACTGTGTGAACATACGGCGGTAAGCAAAACACAGTTCCCATAGGGAGAAGCAGGCACTTAAGGAAGGCAATTGAAATATGCTAAGTTAAGGCACAGATGCTATGGGAGGGTATGGAAAGGGCACATACTTCAGTCCAGTAGATTCTCGGAAGGCATTTTAAAATAGGGACATATTTGAAGAGTGAGTAGGAGTTAGCCAAGAGAAAATATTCTGGGCAGAGAGAAGACCACACGTAAAGGTCAAGGTGTGAAATAAAGCATGGCATGTGTGAGGAATTAAAGGTATTTCAGGCCCTGAGTGGTGTGGCTTGGTTGACTGAAGCATTGTCCCATAGACAGAAAGGCTGGGGGTTTGATTCCTGATCAAGGCACATGCCTAGGTTGTGGGTTTGGTTCCCTGTTGGAGCACATATGGGAGGCAGCTGATGATGTTTCTCTCCCTTTTTCTCTCCCTGCCCTCACTCTAAAAATCAGTGGACATGTCCTCTGGTGAGGATGAAAAACTAGTACTTCAGAATGGGAGTAGAGAGTAGGAAGATGATGAAAGAATTACTTATAGGATGTGGATCACAAAGGTTCTCTCATTCTAAGATTGGAATTGGACCTTTGGGTAATGGGGGTTCATTAAGCACAATTAGCATGATCTAGAATACAGATTGGTTTGCGGCAAGAAAGAGATCCAAAAATACAGTGGCTGAGTAAGAAAATATTTCTCTCAAATACAAGTCCAAGCAGGCAGTTCAAGTTTAGTATAGTTGAATGCAGCCAGATGTTGTTGGGACCTAAAATTTTTTTTGTCTTGTTATTCCATTATGCCCTAGTTGTTTCACTCACATACTTGAAAGTCATCACTACACTTCTTGGGTCCACATTCCAGCTAGCAAGAAAGGGCTCAAAATAAGAGGAAGATGGGCAGTCAGAGTGACTATGAATGCAGCCTAACACAATATCATAAATCACACACAGGCCTCTTTTTTGCTCATCAATTTTCATTAGTATTTGGGTATTTAATGTGTGACCTAAGACAACTCTTCTTCTTCCAGTATGACCCAGAGATGCCAAAAGTTTGGACACCCCATGGAAGTCATACACATCAATTCTACTCATATTCCATGGACTAGAATTTAGCCACACCACCTGTAAGGAAATCTGGGAAATAGAATCTTTATTCTGGATGGCCATATGACTCATTAAAATTCAGAGATAATGTGACCATATTTCTGAATTTTAACTTTAAAAATTTCATCTGTCTTGAATATAAAGAACTGATATGGGGCCCTGCAGCTCAGTAGGTTGGGCATTGTCCTGCAAAGCAAAGGGTCACTAACTCAATATCCAGTCAGGGCGCATGCCTGGGTTTCAATCCCTGGTCAGGGAACATGCAACAGGCAACCAATTGATGTTTGTCACATCAGTGTTTCTCTCACTCTATTTCTCCCTCGTTCCCCTCTGTGTAAGAATAGATAAATAAAAAATCTTTTTTAAAAAAATTGATGAAGGGACAGAAAAGGGGGATGCCAATTATGAAGCTATTGTAGTTCCTATAAGAAATTGTGGGAACATGAATTAAGGCAGGCAAAACTGAGTGCCAATAAATTGCTGTGAATGGATTTTAGAAATACTTGGAAGAATCTGAGTATTTTGGTGTTGGACTTGAAAGGGGATAAAGAAAAAGATGATGCCTATATTTTCTCACTTAGACCATTTGTACCATTCAGTGAAATAGATAACACAAGAAGAAGAGCAGGGTAAAGTTACATGCAGAGCAAAAAGGAAGATCAATGATGAATTTAGTTTTGTGTCTTGTCTGTGGGATGTCCTAGAGGAAATGTCCTCTTGGACATAATGGTCCTGAGCTCAGTATGAAAAGTTGGGCTGTAGATACAGCTATAAGAGGATTATGTATAGAAATAACATCTGAAGCTATAGGAATAAAAAGACAAATCAGAGGAAATGTGTAGACTGAGAAAGTGAAAGCCAAGGAATAACTCAGAGGAATACTTATGTTTGAGGATGCAGTAGAAAGAAAAGCTAATAAATAAAAGAGAGTAACTTAGGAGGAAGAAGAATAATGAAGAGAATGCCACCAAATCCCAGGAGAAATATTCAAGTTGGAGGCACAGGTAATAGGCACTGTGTTGAATTTTGCAGCCTTCAAAATCAAGGGTACGAAAACAAAATTTCACTTAGCAACAAGGAGTTTGTTGATTTTGGTGAAAAAAGTTTGGTAGAAATGGAGGCAAAGACAGATTGCAATGAGTAAAAGAGTGAACAAAAAGTAAGGAAATGATACAGTTTTGCCAAAAGCACTACTATTAAAAGAAGAAACAAGGTTAGGACCAAGTAGAATATGATTGATGGAGGAGTTTTAAATCTCAAAATGAAAAGAGCTTTATGTTTTTCTGATTATAAAAGTAATGTGTTATATAAACAATTCAGGTGACAACAATAAGAACATAAAGAAAAATAAAAACATGAAAATAACTTAGAAATAATCATTACTATCATTTTGATATAATATTTCTATACTGTAAATATATATGTGGGCAAAAGTAGGTTTACAGTAGTGAACACATAAAACTCAGAGCTTATTCTTTTATTATTGTTAATTAATTAGTGCATTATTTATTTGTATCACAACCATAACCTACTTTTGCCCACCCTGTGTGTGTGTGTAATGCTATACCTAAACTTCTCCCATCCAAGTACTAACCAGGCCTGACCCTGCTTAGCTTCCGAGATCAGACGAGATCGGGCATGTTCAGGGTGGTATGGCCGTAGACTATACCTAAACTTCTTTTTCCAGTTTAATACACATGGACATCCTTCCATGGCAATGAATAATTACAGTTATATTAAATTTATGATATTCCATAGTAAGAGCATAACAAAATTTATTTGCTCAACCACAATTTATGGACATTTAAATTGTTTCCCATTTGTTGTTATTAACAGTGCTCTCATAAGCATTCTTGTAGAGAAATATTTACATGTTTTTCTGATTGCTTCTTTTTTATTTTTTAAATTATATTTTATTGATTATGCTCTTGTCCCAATTTGTCCCCTTTTGTCCCCCTCCACCCAGCGACCACCAGTCCCCCAGGCAATCCCCACACCATTGTTCATGTCCACAGGCCATGAGTATTAGTTCTCTGGCTACTCCATTTCCTATACTCTACTTTACATCCCTGTGGCTATTCTGTAACTACCTATTTGTACTTCTTAATCCCCTCACCTATTCACCCATTCTCCCACACCTCCCTCTCATCCAGCAACCGTCAAAATTCACTCCATATCCATGATTCTGTCTGTTATTTTTGTTTGCTTAGTTTGTTTTTTAGATTCAGTTGTTGATAGATATGTATTTATTGCCATTTTATTGTTCATAGTGTTGATCTTCTTTCTTAAGTCCCTTTAACCTTTCACATAATAGTGGCTTGATGATGAAAAACTCCTTTATTTTTTTTTAGTCCGGGAAGCTCTTTATTTGTCCTTCAATTCTAAATGATAACTTTTCTGGGTAGAGCAATCTTGGCTGTAGGTCTCTGCTTTTCATAACTTTGAATATTTCTGGCCAATCCCTTCCAGCCTACAAAGTTTCTTTTGAGAAATAGCTGACAATCTTATGGGAACCCCTCTGTAGGTGACTAACTGCTTTTCTCTTGTTACTTTCAAGATTCTCTCTTTATCTTTAAAGATAAGATAAAAATACTTTTGGCATTTAAATTATAATGTGTCTTGGAGTAGGCCTCTTTGCATCCATCTTGTTTGCAACTCTCTGATTCCTGGACTTGCATGTCTATTTCCTTCAGCAAATTAGGGAAGTTTATTTTTTCAAATAAAGTTCCAGTTTCTTTCTCTGTCTCTTCTCCTTCTGGCACCCCTAGGATGTGGATGTTGGACCTCTTGAAGTTGTCCCAGAAATTGCTTACAACATCCTCTTTTTTTTTTTTTTAGATTCTTTCTTCTTCTTGTGGTTGGTTGGTTGGTTTTTGCCTCCTTATGTTCCAAATCATTGATTTGATTCTTGACTTCATTCATTCTACTGTTGTTTCCCTGTAAATTGTTCTTTATTCAATTAGCATATCCTTCATTTCTGACTAGATCTTTTTTCTGCTGTAGAAGTCCTCACTAAGTTCCTTGAGCATCATTATAACCAGTGTTTTGAATTCTGCATTTGATAAATTGCTTATCTCTGTTCTGTTTAGTTTTTTTCTGGAGTTTTGACCCGTTCTTTCATTTGAGCCATGTTTGTTTGTCTCCTCATTTCAGAAGCCTCCCTGTGCTTGTTTCTATGTATTAGGTACAGCTGCTATGACTCCCTGTTTGGTAGAGTGGACTAATGTAGTAGGTGTCCTGTAGGACCAGTAGCACAGCCTCCCCTATCACTCAAGCTGGGTACTCAAGGTGCATTCTTTGTGTGGGCTGAGTACACCCTCCTCCTGTAGTTGAGCCTTGATTGCTGTTGGCAGGTCAATGGGAGAGATCTCCCCTAGGTCAGTCAGCTGCAAGGACTGTCTGTGACCATTAACCACCAACCTCTGCCCTCTTTGGAAGATCAGCTATGCAGGGGCAAGGTGGTGGTTTTCCAAAGTTGTCTGTAACTATTCATCGGGTATGTAGGCTTTGGGGTTTCCCAAGTGGATAGGCCAGTGTCAGCCCCCACCTGTGTTCTGCCTGGAGCCACCCTACATGAGCCATAAAGCAATCTGAGATGGCTACTACTTGTGCTGAGCTTGGAGATTCCTAGGCAAAGCCAAGTTGTGAATCTAGGCTTGCTGCTGCTAGAGTCAGGACTGGAGCCATTTAGCTGTTGCTGGCTTGATAGGATTTAGAAAGTTGTGAAGCATTAACCTAGACTGGCCATTTATATGGAGAAGTCACAGTTAACGGTTTGGGTGGGCCTATAAGTTGGGCAGGATGGAGTTTCAGGGGATCTCTAGGCACAGATCTAAACAGTGTTAGCCAGGTTGATGGAGTCTCAGATATGGCACCTGCCTGCCAACTCTGTGGCTCTGTTGAGGGAAGGCTCAGAAAAGTGACAATGGCCTCTGCCTCTCTTTCTGTCTGGGAGAAATTCCCCCCCATTCCTGCTTTGATGCCAGACACTTCAGTTCCTCTCTCTATGCTACTGGTGCCTTTCTAGCTGCTAGCCTGGTGGTGCTGGATGTCAGAGGGAGTGTGTATAAGTCCATGTGTGATTTCTTTAAGGGAAACTGCTTAGGGCTTTTTCTTCCACTGACTCAATCCCTGCTGGTTTTTACAGCCAGATGTTGTGGGAACTTATCTTCCTGACACTGGATACCTGTGTTGTGGGGTGTGGGTTGGGGCTGGGACTCCTCACTCCCAAAATATCCCTCCCTAATTTTTATCTACCACATGTGGATGTGGGACCAGCCTGTTCCATGCCTCCATCCCTTCTACTAAACTGGACGGATGTGGTTTCTTTAATTCCATAGTTGTTAGACTTGCATTCAACTCAATTGCTGGACAGTCTGAGTGATGGTTGTTCAGTATTTTAGTTGTTTTGATGTGGTTGTGTGAGGCAGCAAGCCATGATTACATATGCCAACATCTTGATCAGAAGTCCTTTCTGACTATTTCCTTAGGAAAAAAATCAAGAAAATAGAATTTCTGGGTTGATGGAGGAAAGGGGATGATTAGTAAGTTAAGATTTCCAGAGAAGCTTCATCAGAGCACAGGTAGGGCTAGCCTTGAATATCAGAAGGGACACCTTTTCTACATTCCCCCTTGGAACAAGAGGGGTAATGGAAATAACTAGTGGTGCTACACTTAGATTTGTAAGTAGCATAGGAGGAAATCACTTACTGAAAGTGAAAACAAAGGTGATGATGTCGAGATTCTGAGGAGAGTAAGGAAGAGTTGAAATTACAGCTATGGCCTATGGAAGAGGGTGCTGAACTATATTTAAAAAAAAGTATTGGCAATTGATATGTTTGTAATGGCACCAGTTTGCGCAATGGTGTAATTGTTTATTCAGCAGCCAGGTTTGGAGTTTTGTGGTGGGAAGACAAATGAACAAATGAGTTCAGGACTGGACAACTGGCAAAAGTGTAGGTAATATGATGAACAATAAGGTCCAGACTGCATGGAGAACGAAGGGAAGACAGAAGGATTAGATAGGGAGGAAATGCCTTTTTAGAATAAGGAGGATTCAGTTAAGTGTAGGAAAGTACAAAACAATGAGGAGAGGAGATTTTAATCAGAAAGCAGAATATTTGAATTTAAAATTTCAGAGGTAGAATAGTTCTGGGTGATAACAAGAAACAGGTGTGCCCTTGGAAGTGGGTTAAAAGGCACTGTGAAACTTAGATGCTTCTGTAGCAGAAAATTGTTATTAGTAGTTATTGAAAACTGAAATATATAATATGCCTATTTATAAATTTAGAAAAAAACTTCTTTTTAATGAGATTTAATGTTTATTCTAGAAAACCTGGAATCAGATTACTTTGGCAAACTCGATTCTAGATTGTCAATCATACGAAATATAAACAACCAAGTTCTCTTCATTGCGCCAGAAGACCACCCTGTGTTTGAAGATATGACTGATGCTGACTGCGAAGGTATCTTTCAAAAATATGTTTACAGCCCTGGCTGGTGTAGTTCAATTGATTAATGGTGGGACTGGTAAGCAAAAGGTCACAGGTTTGTTTCTCAGTCGGGGCACATGCCTGTGTTGCAGGCCTGGTCCCCAGTAAGGTGCACACAACAGGCAACTAAACATTTATGTTTCCCTCTCTTTTCTCTTGCTTCCCCTCTCTAAAAACAAATAAACTAAAATCATTAGAAAATATATGTTTACAAACATAGAAATGACAAGCTACTTCTTATTCCATTTTACTGCTTATGTTTTTCTAATATAGGCCTACTCCTTAAATGAAAAGTCATAGCAGTAGTAATAATTTCACTTACAAGAAACTTTATAGGGATCCAAATCTTTTAGTTGGGATGAAAAATTGGTACAATAAAGATATTGCCAGGATTTGGGAGGAGGACAAAGGAAATAAAGGGGATCAAATTTGTGGTGACAGAAGGAAACTACCTTTCAGGTGATGGGAACAAAATAGACTATACAGATGTTGTATTATAAAATTGTACACTTGAAATTTATATAATGTGGTTAATCAATGTTACCGCAATAAGTTTAATTTTAAAAATGTTTTTAAAAATATTGCTAGGGGTCATGCTACTCTGGGCCTACATTTGGATCACCAATTCCTTCATTGCAAATGCATTAACTATATAAGATATCTACAGAGTTGGATCCTTAATACCTGCTGGTTATAGCTTAAATAGCTAATAGCATTTTCAAAATTCAGAATTTAAAACAAATACACAAGCATTTCAAACAAATGCTTCTGCCATAAATTTAGAGTGCCTTAGGAAATGAGTAAGTTTACTGTGCTTTCCAAGGTATGAATTCAAATATCAGAGTTTAGGCAGAGTTGAAACAGTGAATGTGTACTCTTGAAAGATACTTAGCATAATGTTCTCCAGGTCCATCCATACTAAGTGAAATAAGCCAGTCAGAGAAAGACAAATACCATATGATTTCATTCATAGTGGAACCTAATGAACAAACTGAACTAACAAGCAAAATAGAGACAGACTCATAGACAATGATCAGCTAAGGGGGTGAGGGAGGGCAGGGGCTAGAAGGATTGAGGAAACAGGAAAAAGGACTCATGGACATGCACAACAGTGTGCTGATTTCGGGGGTGGGGGTGTAAGGGGACCAAACGGTAATAAAAAATTAAAAATCCTAAATGTTTACCTTAGCAGATAGATTTTTATGATTCTGTTTAGCATTTAAACGTTAAAGCAGTCTTTTAGAATTCAGAATGTCTCTTAAGCACTCAAAATTTGCTGCTTTTGTGTCATAATACATATTTGAGTGTGTTTTAAAGAATATGTGAGCAGTTGTGTGTAGTCTCAGCTAACTGGCTGAATCTCAGTGTGGGATTAGTAATAGGTCTGCTAAGGATTATCCCTTGGCTAATTTTCATAAATATTGATTTGCAAAAGTTCTCATAACTAGTGTTCTCATTTATTAATGTTTATTTCAGGTAATGCACCCCGAACTGAAATTATCATATTTATGTATAAAGACAGCCTCCTTCGTGGCATGGCAGTAACAATCTCTGTGAAGTGTAATAAAATGTTTACTCTCTCCTGTAAGAACAAAAGTGTTTCCTTTAAGGTAAGACTGAGCTTAAATTTGTTTTAGTCATATTTATGTGGAAAATTTAAAAACCTAAATATCCTCAGTTCAACTTTTTGTCTAGAACAAGAATGGCAAGAAGCTAAGAGCCATTAAAATAGTTATTAAAAATTGTCCAGCTCTTTGATCTGTTGTAACATCAGGCTTTTTCTAAGTATGCCATAGGGAAGAAGTATAACCTTTGTTTCATAACCTGTCTCTTCTGAATAATCAATCTATCATAAATAATAATATAGAAGACATATGAGTTATTGTATTTAAGAATTGCATACTTTTCCCAAATAAGTTTTCCTAAACAAAATGAAACTAATTATCCTTCTGTAAACACTCTATTTACTTTTTGAATTATGATTATAATATTTTAACCCTTAATTTTTTGTTCCTGCTTCTCAGCTGCATCCTTCAGCTTTCAGTTGATGTATGTTATTTTTAATGTAAATGTAAGTGAATAAAATTAACAAGATTAGCTGTAAAAGCAATGGTATAATGTATCTTAAAGCCATGTATAAACTATTTCTAGTCACTGCTTTTTCTTCCTCCATTCTCCTTTTTTTTTTCTCTTGAAGAGTTTCCAAGTGGGGATTTGCTGGTAAAATACTGCTGTGGGAACTGAAGGTTAGAGTATGACCTTAGTGGACATGCTAAGGGGCAACTTGGGAGGGAGGAAAAAGCCAATTTAAAATATAATCCAAGTAAAAATCAGTATGTATGCCACAAATACAGCCTCCAAACAAACCCTTTAGCCATCACCTTCCAACCAGAGTGCCACCCTTTTGGGTCACAATTTAGAGTCCTGATTTTCTGTCCTGAAAAGCAGGAAGCTTAGTTATCAGAATGGCTTTCCAGGCTTGGGGATGGATGGGCAGGGTGGAGAGGATTAAGCATGTTCTTCCTTAGCAACAAAATCAGAAGGGAAGGAGGGAGATGGCCAAACTCAAACCAAGTAGGGTAAAGAAAAACTAAGTCAGCTGCAGAGGCAGATTCAGAGCCTGGGATAAGCCTGAACTATACATGGATTATTACTGAGAGAGCCTGGGGAGTATTATAAAAGATGAAAGTAATACTTGACATATAGTAGGTACTGGGGCAAATCCAGGTTGGAGGGAGCCTGAAGCTTACACAATATGGGCATGCCTTTTAAAGAAAGAGAATATAAAATTACCAAAGTAATAAAGTTGACAATTTATTTAGAATAAGAAAAGGAGGGGCTTTAGAAGAGACCTGTGCATGTTGGGGTAGAGGGGTGTGCTCTGACATTTAAGCTTCATTAGCTTCATAGCAAATCTGCTTCTGAAAGGAACTCAGTAAATATTAGTTGGAGGAAGGGATGGAGGGTGGGAGAGAGGAAGGAGAGAGAGAGAGAGAGAGGATGAAAACAACTAGTTTTAGTTCATGTTCTTTCATTTGTTTTCCCCCCGCTAATAAAGATCTTAGCAGTGATTATAAATATAGACTAAATTCTACTAGATAATAAAACACAACTGGCTGCCATTATGTGTTCACCTTTCTGTGTTGGTTACTAGCTACTAAGTCCTAGTGCTTTTGGTTACCCCTGTTTTCTCTGGGTAAGAACCTTCATGACACCAGCAGAGATTTCTTCAGTAAGTTAGTATTAGTGTCTATTTCTTGCATATGCATTTAGGAATGGCCTGAATTCTCTCAAACTTGCCAATGCACTTGGCAAACCAGATATTAGGTCAAGCTTAACTTTCTCTGGGTTGATATTCAACGCCTCCTGATGTAAACAATCCCTTAAGCCCTTGGAGCACTCAAGTTTCATTACATAGGACTGTTTCCACATCCATTTACTGTGCACCTTCCCTGTGATGGCTAAGAATAAACAACACCAAAACCAAGGAAAACTATTGTCCTGGGATTTCCTTGCCCCTGTTCTGAAACATCTATCCATACCCCCACTTTCAACTACAACTTTTCATGCTAGGTTTGGACTAACAGGTTTGGCTCCCTCTAACATTTCTAGAGCTTCTGAAGTTTTGGCTAAGGGCTATTTCTCACTTATACATTCGAGTAGGTTAGTACCAAATTGGCTCCCCAGCTTAAGATCTCTTCCTAAATTCTGGGATACAATCGAGAGCTGCAGAAATATATGTCTGTGGGACAACTAGTTTATACTGTTATCAATATACTCACACTTATTGATAAAGGACAAAGATTAAGAGCTATGACTATAAATTCCATAACTGATTGAGAAGTTTGGAGGTACCCAAACTTCTTTCAGATATTGTAGGAGGAAGCTGGAATGCTATTAATATTTTGGATCTGGAGATCTCTCCATCAGTCCTTAGTTAGGATCATGAGAATTTTTGCTACTGTGGGGTCAAAATTAAGTTCAAATGTCTGCTGGTTCCAGAATTAACATGGAAAGAACCTTGGGTTGTCCTTGGATTTTCTAGTCCCTCTTGAAAAATAAGTATGATACAACAATAAAAAACGTGTAAGCAATACTGTCACTTAGGTGACCAGCAGGATTATAGTTTCAAGTGATCTAGATATTCTTGAGAAAACCCTATTCTGTGTCCGAAAGATATAAGAATCAGAATTTAACCTTGCCCTGGCCAGGTAGCTCAGTTGGTGAGAGCGTTGTTCTGATATGTCAAGGTTGTGGGTTTGATCCCTTGTCACGGCATGCACAAGAATCAACCATGTGTAAATCAACCAATGTATAAATAAGTGAAACAACAAATCAATGTTTCTCTGTGGCTCTCTTTTCCTTCCTCTTCCACTCCCTCAAATCAATACAAAAAAATTTAAGTAAGAATTTGGCCTTTCAGGGCAGAGCCCAGCCAAAGACTACTTTCAGAATAGAAATTCAGGACTACTATGGAAGTGGAGTACTTGGCAGGAAAAAGTCAAAGGCTGCTGACTAAGCCACTATGGCAAGGTTATATAGGAATCAAGAACTTAGCCCTAGAACAGCTATAGTGGGTCTATTTACAGTAAGTTTCAGTTCTAGCCTCCAATGGAGGAAGGAAGCAGCTAAGATTCCTGTCATTTCTGCCTTTCTCACAGTTAGCTCACAAGCTAGGCTAGGCCTGTGGGTGGAGGTTATCAGTGTCTTTAGTTCTGAATGGCTGGAAAAGACAGGAACTGACATTAGCCCAGAAAGATTGTGGTCTTTGCTAAAACTGACTCTATCTTCAGCAGATAGGAACTTCACTCAGTGGAAGAAGAGAGAAGGAACTGTATGATTAATAAATAGAAAAAAACTATAGACCTAGACCTGAATGTACATTTCATGGTAGAAAAAGCCAAATGGACAATGAGAATAGGAGATTAGGAATTAAGAGGAAGAGATTGGTATTTTTATATTCAGAGATTTTTATCTTAATTCATGATAATGTAAACTTCTTTAGTTCTATCCAGTAATATACTTTAAAATAAACTGCACATATTCTAATCATTCACATCCTAAAAAAAATTAATATTTTTTCTCTACAGGAAATGATTCCTCCCAATAGTATCAATGATGAAGGAAATGACATCATATTCTTTATGAGAAAAGTTCCAGGACATCACAATAAGATGCAATTTGAATCTTCATTATACAAAGAGCACTTTCTAGCTTGTAAAAAGGAGAATGAGCTTTTCAAACTCATTTTGAAAGAAAAGGACAAATATGGGGATGAATCTGTAATGTTCACTGTTCAAAGCAAGAACTAGGTATTAAAATTGCTTAGCTTGAACTTCCTGAGTTTTATGGTTGAGAAAGTTTGTAAGACTTTGAACCTATAGTTGTAGTGATGAAATAAAATGTATAGTGGTCTCAAAAATATTACTAAGAAATGAATAATAACCTTTCACAAAATTGAATTGGCTCCCTCTTATCCAGATGAATAAAATATTTGTATAATGTAAAAAAGAATGCATAGTTTGAAAAAACACACTCTACATTGTTAATTGGAACATAGATCATACTCAATGGAATTGTTTTGAATCTTTTGGGTTATATTGAAAGATATTGATATTTGAATTTTCTAATTGTTAAGAATATCATGAAAGCCATTAAGATTTTACCCTGACTGGGTAACTCAGTTGGATAGGGTGTCACCCCATACACCAAAAGCTTGCAGGTTCAGTCCCCAGTTGGGGTGTGCACAGGAGGCAAATGATCAATGTTTCTCTCTTACATGGATGTTTTATTCTTCCTTTCTCTCTCACTAAAATCAATAAACATATTCTTGGATGAAGACTAAAAAATATATACCATCAAGATTTTATAAAGAGATCACTTCAGCTGACTAATTTCTGCTGAAGTCAGAATATCTTTAAAATTCAGATTGATCCTAAATCTAGCAACATATAAAAAGGATTAAACATTTTAAGCAAGTGGCATTCAATTCAGGAATGCAAGTGCTTTAATATTCTAGAAATCAATTAATGTAATATATCATATTAATAAAGAATAAAAACCACACAATCATCTCAGTAGGTGAAGAAAAGTCTCTGACAAAAGCCAGTTCATAGTAAAAATTCTTAACAAACTTGAAAAAGAAAAGGACTTTCTCAATGTCATAAAGGGCATCTGTGAAAAACCTACTGCTAACATCATACTTAATGGTGAAAAAATAATGCAAGAATGTCAGCTCTTGCAACTTCTACTCAATGTACTGGAAATTCTAGCCAGCATAATCATAAGAAAAGGAAAAGACATCTAGATTAGAAAAAGAAAAGTAAAACTGTTCTTATGTGAAGATAACATGATTCTTTATGTAGAAGATCAGAATACTCACCTGTGTGTGCATGCACAGAGATCCCTATTATAACTGAAGAAGTTCAGTGAGGTGGCAGGATACAAGATTAATATATGGAAATAAATTGTATTTCTACATATGAGAACATACAATTAATTCCATTCACAAGAGTACTAAGAGATATAATATAAATTTAGCAAAATAAGTGCAAGACTTGTATAATAAAGTTTTTAAAACATTGCTAAGGAAAATTTAATATGATCTAAATAAGCGGAGAGACATTCCACTTTCCTTGATTGGAAAACTCAATATTGTTAAGATGATAGTGCTCCCCAAATTGATCCATAGATTCAACTCAATCTCTGTCAAAGTTCCAGCAGGATTTTTTGCAGAAATTGATAAATTGTATCTAAAACATACATGGAAATCAAAAAGAATAGCAAAATTTTTTGAAAAAGAACAAAGTTGGAAAACTTCCCTTTCCTAATCTTAAAATTTAATATAAGTTCTCAGAACTTTCTGGTACTGACATAAGCACAAACAGATCAATGGAACAGATTTCTGGGTTCAGAAATAAATCCTCATATTTATGGCCAGTTGATTTTTGACAAAGATAGAAAGAAGGGTTTTCAACAAATGGTGCTGGGACAATTGGATATCCACATTCCAAAAATATGAACACAGAACTTTACCTAACACTATACAAAAATTAATTCAAAATGGATCAGAGACATTAATGTAAACTGAAGCTATTAAACTTTAAGAATAAAACAGGAGAAAATGTCAAGACCTTGGGTTAGGCAAAGGTTTTTTTAGGCCCAACTAAGCAGTTAGGTACATAAAAGAAAAAAACTGATAAACTGGACTTAATCAAAATGAAAAATTTGGAAGTGAAACTGGGCAAAGGGTACATAGGACCTCTCTATCTTTGCAACTTCCTGTGAATCCTTAATTATTTCAAAATCAAAAAATTTTTAGAAACAACTTTACATTCAAAAGACATCGTTAAGAAAAGAAAAAGACAAGACACAGACTGGAGAAAATGTTTGTCCCCACATATATGGCAAGAAAAAAATTGTATCCAGGATATATAAAGAACTCTTACAACTCAGTAAGAAGACAATTCGATTTTTAAATGGGCAAAAGATTTGAAGAGACATATCTCAAAAAGACATACAAATGGCTCATAAGCACATGAAAAGATGAACATCATTAGTTCTTGGAGAAATGTAAATTAAAACCACAATGAATTACCACTTCCTAGTCACCAGGATGTGTATGTTCATAAAGACAGATAATAACAAGATAACAAGTAGCAAAAATGTTAAGAAACAGGAATTCTCATACATTACTGATGGGAATGTGAAAAAGTACAACAACTTTGGAAAAGATTTTCAGTTTCTTGCAAAGTTAAATATAAATGTTTCACATAAGCTAGCAATTCCATTCCTACATATCTATTCAAGAGAAATAAACCATGTTCCCACAAAGATTCATACAATAATGTTCATATCAGCATTATTCTTAATAGCCAAAAAGTGGCAAGAGCCCAAATACCCATCAGCTGGTGAAGAGGTAATCAAAATGTATATCCATAATGGATATACAATACTAATTTTAAAAAAGTGTAAAATACAGATACTTGCTACAATGTGAATGAACTTTAAAAAGATGCTAAATGAAAGAAACCAAACAGAAAAAACTACATATTGCATGATTCTATTTATATGAAATGTCCAGAAAAGGAAAATCTACAGAGAACTGAATTCATGTTCACCAGGGTTCTGGTGGAAAGGGGGATTAATTGTAAACAGATATAAAAGATCTTGGAAAGAAGAAAATGCTCTAAAACTGGATATGGTAATGGTTGAACAACTAGATACATTTACTAAACATCATTAAATTGTATACTTAAAATGAGTAAACTTACAGTATATAAATTATGCCTTGATAAAGTTATTTTAAAAAAACAAAAGAGTCGGTTTGATCAACTTTTTATATTAACTTTTATTGTTTTTTCCCTGCTATAAAATTAAGACATATCCATCACAGAAATTTTTGAAAATACAAAGGAACTGTTAAAAAACAAAATTCAACTGAGTAAATATGAGTATCTAATTGGTTTTACTCAGTGATTCATGAATCAAGTAGTATCCCATCTGGCAAGTAGGAGCTCTGAGAAGCTGTACAAAATTGGAGGCTCCTATAGGCAGGAGGGTGCAGAAAAAAAGAGATTACCTCACCTTTCTTTGGGTCTGTCAGGTGGATGACCTCAGTACTGCTGACCGGGAAATTCCAAATGGACTAGAAGATGCTGGAACTGCTATTTAGGTGTTGTCTTGGTTTGGTGACATGGGCTTAGCACAAGTGAATTCGTTTGAGACCATTATCTCTCTCTTTTTTTAACAGAGCAAAAGAAGAAAATGTAAACCACTCATCCTTCTATCTTCGGATAACCATTTTTGACATTTTGGTGTAGATCCTTACAATTTTCCTTTCTACAGAGATTTAGGCTGAAAAATGAAAACACTCTTTACTTCTTGTCCTACACAGAATCTGGAATATCTTTCAAAGCTGAAGTTGAAATCTTGGATATGCAAAGAAGGGCCTGAGCTGAATCTGGATGTAAGAAATGAAAAGAGCTGACAGTTCTGGTTAGAAAAGACAGGACTGTAAGAGGGAAAAGCACAAATGGGGTTCAGGCTTTGCCTCCCACCAAAAAAGAAAAATCAATCAATCAATCAAACCACATCAGAGTCTGAAACAAGGATTTGTGTGCAGATCCTTTATTTGAGAAGTCATCCGAGAGAGCAGGAGCAAGAGAGCCAGGAGAATGAGAAAGGGAAGGTGCAGAACCTAGTACAAGGTACGTTATCAAGGTTGTCACTGTGGGCCTGGTTTATCCAGAATTTCCTGAGAAGCACACAAAATGCCCCTAAATTATCCCCCTGGAGCAAGGGGGCAGGAGCACTACCCACAAGCTCCTAACACCCACTAATTGAACACTGCCCTTAGCCCCACACTTCTGAGCTGTGTTTGTGTTACCAAACAGAAACAATCTGTTCACCCATCACTGGCAGAGCCAAACACTAGACACCAAGAATTGCAGTGGAGAAAGACTGGCTATTTTATTATGAATGGTACCATCCAGGAGAGTGGGAAGCTAATGCCCAAAAGCCCAAACTCCCTGATCCAGGGTTCAGGCAGGTTTCTAAGAGGCTGGGAGAACAGGCAGGTGGAATTGCTGGTAGGAAAGTTTTAATTGGAGGACCTTGGAGCATGGTCATTTATGGTGAAGGGGCTTCAGCACTGGATCTTCCTGGACAAGGACCCTTAGCCTATGAAAGGGTTCTGGTGTTCAACGTTAGGTTAAATCCAAGTCTTCTGGCTCCCTGGGGTGGGCAAGATGAGACTCTGGTTCTAGTAGCAGCTGGAGGTCAAAGTTCTCTTCTCTGCACCTGCTTCACCTGCACAAGTTTCAGTTTCGGTCTGTTGTCTTGTTAAAAAAAAAAAAAAAAAGGATCATTTTGAACTGGTTCTGTGTTACCATTGGCCAGGCAAATTTATCTGCAGCAAAGGGTAAAATAATGCAGCACACTCAAGGTAATATTGTTAGCATGAGCTGCTGTAGAACTGTCCGCAGCACTTAATTGTTGGCATCAGAAATGGGCTGAAGCAATGTGGCACCAGACTGGATCAAGGCACCACAGCAAGAAGGTAGAGCTTAAGTAGCAGCAATTACCAGAGGACTTTTTAAAACTTTTCTTTATTGAATCTGAGGTGCTATTGATTGTAAAATATACCATTACATTAGGTACCACTGAGAAAAAGAAGACACTGCCAACTAAACTAGAGGATACCTTTAATTGTAAAGTGCATTCTTATTTCAGATATATTAAAATGTGAAAAGTTGCATGTCTTAGAATTGATGAAATACAGGTACAATGGACCACTGTTTTCATTACTCTAATGTAAATGTCTCCATTTCCATA